TGTCTCTAAAAATCTACGTAAAGACAATGTGAGATACAATTATCTTGATTGAGAGAGAATATGAAATATCCCATAAAGTGAGATCTCAGTGCTTTTTGTGGCAAGACTAGTGAAAGACTAATATCTCACAATCATCCTTTTTGTCGTGTATGTAAAATCACCCGATCCTTGATTCTGGTCGAATTGTGTTTCCCATTGCTCCTGTAATACATTGCCTCTTTAACAGAGCACAAACACTTATCATTGCAACAGAAAAGTGAGACTGACTATGCAGCGGAAGGACATGTTCTCTTTGTGCTTCTGCCCTCCATGATAAGGTAGCGTGCAGCCGTGGAACTATTGCCTGCAACCTACGTGACTTGCATTTAGAGGCAAGTTCGATCAGCGACAATAGTCAACCCATGGTCGATTTTGACTGGTAACCATGCATGCATTAAATGTATATCGAGTATCAGGGAAAATCGACGATGTGGTTAACAAATTAGTACTGATCGAACTTGCCTTAACAATATGCGCAAGAATATTGTGACAAGTGGGACCCCCTTCAGACTATGTAGCGATAACTTGCCAAGACTTGAGCAGTTTATTATCACAATGTGATTCAATCCCAATCCACTATGTGCATGTTACGTCGTCCCAAGGAATAATACCAATAATAGTCTGTATATTTTTCGTGGGAGATGATACGAGTTGTAACCACTGGCGCAGAATCGCCATACAAGAATCCCTGTCAACAATTAGAAAGGTAATTCCTATATATGCACACACCGCAATTATTTGCCAGAAGAGTTGCCAGAAGGCGCTCTCGTCCTGCCTTCTCTCCTGATGTGAAGCATAGAAACCACAGGGGAACTGCCCTTATTTCATTCATACAGCGGCGTATCCAGCTTTTGGTGTCAAAAAAGGAGGCAAATTCAAAAGGGAATGTGGCTTGGGACTCATTCAACATGATGTTGGGGAGAGAAAACCACAAACCTTACTCACGGTGCCGACATCCTTGCTTTGAGCTGGTGTTATTTTGTTAGAGTTTAAGAAAACGACACTAACAAACAAGGCAAGGATGTCGGAACCGTGAGTAAGGGTTGTGACCTTTGGTGCTAATGAGATAAACAAAATTAACATACCAATTGCTTTCTTTCTTACTCACCTATGAAATATTCGTTGTAAAAAAAAGTTCTGTCGGTGGAGGGGGGGGAGTTGCCCCCGTCCCTTGATGGATACGCCACTGTGGTTCATTAAGAGAATGTGCAGGATATATAGGCCTAGTAACATTCTATAAAAGGTTTTGCCGCCGATAAATTCATCTTTTCCCTTTTTTCAGAGTCGAGCGCTTTAAAATGAAACACCGCTTTGAATATAATCAGGTTTTAATTACAATCAGCGGTACAGAAAAAAGTGTGGTATGATTCCAAATTGACATTGAATTAGGTTTTACCCGTTGCGTATGTGCAAGCGCATCAGTCAGGTGACGCCAAAATGGCTGTATACCTACAGGGACGTGAAAATATTTACTTGAATAATAGATTAAAGCGTCTGAACACAGGGTTTCCTTTCCAGTGCGGAAAAGAGTGTCCGGAAAGCGACTAAGACTGATAACTTGGGGGATACTTTTAAGGAAGATATGACATCTTGAATCGATTAATGCAAAAGACAACTTTGTTGTTCAGTCGTTCGTAACTTTAAACGGGGGTGGAACAGATGCCTCGTTCTAAGCAAGATCGAATGCCACCTCAGCTCTCTGCCCCAGGTGAAACCAACGATGATATTTTTACAGATCCCAATGATAAATGGACCAGCTGTCAAATTGGTGCAAGATTCGCTTCGGATGCTGCATGCACTTAAGGGAGAGAGATGTCTATGCAGAGTACAATACACGCCAGGGGCAAACGTGTCAAACCTAGTCTCTATGGATTCATCCGGAGAGCAGCCACTATAAACAGTGAACAATATAGGCTCATACGAACGCAGGCGCTCTTAAACTTGACGCGAGCGTGCAGTTTGGTGAGTCACAGCCATAGAGATTATAATAGTAAGGTTCAGTCAAGTAATCTTTTAGATTTCCACTTGTCCCACGCCCCGCCACCAATCACGCGGTCAGGATTGAGCCTTTTTTTTCTAAATAGCAGGAGAGGGCATAATCACGACATTCGCATTTTGGCCCCCCCGGACATATAAAGTGTCGATTGCCGATTACCCCTTTACCCAACCAATCAGTGGAGATATTAGAAAACTGCGCATGATCCGTACACACCAACAGCCTCCGGCTTGATGGGATCATCTCTCGCCCACAGTGGTCATTTGAAGAAAAAAACAAAGAGGCAAGATTTTTTCCTATTACCTAACAGTGCTATCTATTGTCTACTTCTTGTACCTGGTTACAATAAAAAAACAGTAAAAATATAGTGAACATAAATTTTTAACGAATCATGGATAAAAACATCATATACGAAGCAGAAAAGGCACAGGGATAAAGCACACTCTAAACGTATTAAAACTCTGACTACTTACAAGTGATGGTGCTGATTTGACAGACTGGTTGAAGTTAGGATTCGTTCAAGTTCTAAAAGATATCCAAAATATTCCTTTTTGAACATTTTGACATGGCTTGCGATCCCGTCCACAAAAAAATTTCATCTGGGCATTTCGCACATGTGGAAACCTTTCAAGATTTGACTGCTAATCTCAATACATGGCGACAAGATGTAAGCGTACCCCGGGTGTCTCTATATTTCTTTCTCCATTATGAGGAAGAAATGCAAACTTGTAAAAGGAGCACGTGGTCTCTACAATTGCATGTCAATTATGGATCATTTATTATCAATACAGGTGTATACACTGACTGGTTTAGGATGATGGAGGAGGGTAAAACAAAAGGAAAGATATATGTCACAGCTATAATAAGCTTTGAAGCCGAGAGAACTATTTCCAATCAATCAACAAAACTAGTACCCCAGGGAGAAGATAACAGGCTCGGTTATCAGCTAAACTCGAAGAAAATACTGTAGCAGGTTGCTGTGTTTTGCTCCGCTTCAGTGTACACCGTATGCTTCATTTTCTGATTATCATAGTGCACTTGATTACAAATTAAAAAAAAACTTTTCGCTACGTTTAGGCTTGATTTAACAATGTGTGTGGACAAGTCGTAGGCTATGACTGCTAGTTTAAAGTAGCAATATTTGGACCAATACAAAACGATTTAGACACGATCTGAATCGTGACATGATATTCCTCGTATATGAATCAACCACTCCTTATGACAATGTATCACACAGGAGAAAACCCATAGGTCTATACAAAAATGTAACCAAAATAAAAGATGAAAATGATGCCAACGCTTCACCGCTCAAACTGCGTTTAGCGTGTGTGATGTCTACACCGGATAAGTCGGTCGGTATCAGAGACAATGTAGTGTTAATTTCACACCCCAGTTATTGTATTGTGTATCAATATTTGGCGTGGCTTCCACTCAGTCCGCTGCCATTACTTGCCGGGGAAGTGTCACTGCGAGCCAAGCGGTCCGAGGAGATCAGACAGAGAAAACAACCCAAGAGGAGGGTTGGGGCATTTACGGAGAAGCGTGTCAACAAAGGGGGAATCAATTTGTGGGGGTTGGACGTGAAGACGAGTGGAGAGATGAGACAGCTATATAGTTTGGCATTTTGTCTCACTGCCATACATCCACAAACCTCCTTTCCCCCTTGTCTTTTTACATCGCTTGGCCTGCATTTCTGGCACATCCATCGCGGATGACACACTGGGCGAAGCGCCGCCGCGGGTGACGGGGTGAGTCTCCAGGGCAGATGAGCTAAGACACCGGAAATGGCTCCAGGATCGAGAGAGCTCAAGATGCAGAACTGAATGCCCGATATATCAACTAGACTTTATTCATCTTCGAATATGCCGCTCCATATCAAAGTATAGGTGCACCACTGCACGCACATGCACCAGATCTTCAAAGATTTGCTCCGTTAGTGCTTTCCTCAGGCTAGTTTTGCATAGTAAACCATTAGTATTTTTCTTAGTAGAAATTCTTGTCCCTCTTTTTTCACAAGTTTATTGTGAAAAGAGCTGAATTGTAAACTGAACTGTAAATCTTGTTTGAAAGCAAATAATCGGGCCGACCCCAACAATTGCAATGAAACGTTGTCATTCGATGAAATTGTAAAAATGGTACTTTAACCTAAAGATTTTATTGCGTTTACAATTTTTATTTCACGCTGACATTTGGAAAAGGTTTTTGTTTATAAGGAATACCGTAATGCCGAAGGCATGCCCCTGGTGTCACGTGATTCCACACAAGCGTTTAAAAGGTTTCTATAAGCTTTAGGGATCACGTGATAAAACAACTCTATATTTGAGAAATTGAAATTCAAATAAGTAATTGCAACCTAAAACGCCGAGATATGAGGCAGTATTAGTATTTCACTTTCAAATACGAAAGGTGTGCATTCGTTCAGTAAGAAATAAAGCACCTATTGGACTATAATACAATAAAATTCCATACCAATGACAAACCGTTTATCAGATAGGAGGAAACACACAATAGGCCTATAGATAAAATAGCTGGTGAGGTATACATTTTCCACAACGGATCTTCACAAGAATGTGTCTGCTTGCAATGTGTGTTTTTCAAACTGAACTGCATCTGACGAAACTGCATTATTGTAAACACAGAACAACCCTCCACAAATTGATGTAATCAAGGCTAGATATCAGTCACGTTACCGTATCGCAACGACGGGCAAATCAATCGCTCAAAATTTAATTTTCTCCCACGACGTTGTGTTACACACAAAAGGAAAGCGGTATAAAAACTGAGAGACCTTCGTTTCCTTCGCATTTTCGATTCATATCGCTGCTCCGTGCGCCGTTTTCCCGCGCCATCGGGCTACCAGCCGCGTAATTAGTCATTTCATCTGGAGGTGACGTCACTGGAGAAGGGAATTGCCATGGCGACGAAGGCGGTGCTTAGGGTTTTCATCCGGTGGAAGTGAGGCGAAAGAATGCGTGCGGGAGACAAGAAGAACGACCGAGACCTGGTAAGGAGTGTGGTTGAAGACCTCCACTCCAGACGAAAAAGTTACCAGGACACACCATAAAGGCTGATGGAGTCCTGGACTTCGGTATGTCGGAGGACTAATCCATCGGATGAACAAAACTGTGAAGACTATTTGGTAAGTTAACCTTTGTACACCACTTAAGCAAAATTCGAACGGAAAAGTTGAAACCCTGTTATGAGTCCTTTTTAAAAGCAAACATGTGTAGGATAGTTGTTTCAGAAGGCAACACATCTTTGGTGCACTTTGGTGAAAAGTTGTTTTTTAATGACGCCATGTATATGATGTCGTCTACAAAGTCAGATATTTTACGAATAAGTCCGTGGATGTAGAGGGTTGCTTAGTTTAACAAGTCATCTTTGTCAAGTCAGCCTCGCGGGGTATGTGGCAAAGTCGATATAGGGTTGTAGCTTCCGATCATAACGGTCGGGGTTGGAATCCATCATAGCAGCATGGGGGGTAAGTCACTTAAACTTTACCTGCCTCTCTACATCTAGGAATAAACGACTTTCCTTGAGGGCAGGTTATGATTATGATGGGAAAGTTGCGCCTGATATGGCAGCATCGGGCTAGTTTTCTCCCAAGGGAGCTGAGACGGTTTCATGAATGTTCAAATGTTGTGACTCCAATGTGTAAGGATAATGCGGATAATATATCGGCACCTTTGATTTACAGGTATTATTTAAACTGTCACCGTTAGCCTTATAAATACTCTGATATTATCCTCCTCATTGTTATTATCATCCTGCTACTGTGTTAAGGTCTACGACTTCGTGCCCCAAAATAGAATGTCACCGAATGTTTCCTTTGTCACAGAACTGAAATGAAACCAATGGCGGAGCTGCCAGCTATTTTGAAAACTGGAATTCATCGCGTCTTGTAACACCACTTGGGAGGCCATGATAATCTCATTTATGTAGTTCTTGGTCTCGTTTCCTCGTTGCCGTCCCCAGAAGCTGAAAAGTCTGACAGCTTTATCCATTAACCTGAATAAGCAATAACTGGCCGACAACAGACCGACACGTTTGGGCGCAGAAGTTTATGAAATGTAGGCCTAGTGACGTCACGATTGGCCAACCTCACCGCGCAATAATCTACCTAAGTGCAGCGCTAATCACGAAAGGGTGGCGGCTGTGTATTTGCAACCAGCCTGCGAATATTGATTATTAGGCCAAGCATCAATCATGAGGCTTAACCATCAGCATCCTCTCAAATAAAAGCCGGACGGGGGGCGTGTGACGTTTCTTGGTAAATATTTCACTGTCTTCAACGCACTTTTTAGAGGCAAACGAGGGAGATTTTGACGATTAATAACAATAGATTTCCCATCATTTAATAAGGTACTAAGTGATTTGAAACTTGATTTATTCTTTTTGAGAACAACGCCTTCTAACGTCTTTTCCTGTTTAAAGCCTACTTCTAATTTATTTTCCCCAAAAGCTTCAGAACGATAAGGTAGGATTGATCCAAGGAGTATTTACACAATGAAACATTGCGAAACTTATCTGTGCTAAAAATTTGTTTCGTTCTTTTCTATTTTCAAGTAAGGTACAAAACCTTAGGTGTCGTTCTGTTTTCTCCAAGGAACTTTTACACCCTTCGCCTATCTTGTTCAGGTTATCCTTAATTTATGAAGTGGTTAGAGAACTTAATAGACAGGAAAGAAGTACATAAGAGAGCTCCACTTGATGTCCTTGATAAATTGCTCACACACGCTATCAATCTCCTGGCTGTTATGAAGCGGGTGGCAGTGTCGAAGCTGTACGGGAAAAAGGGTATGATACCGGCTATTTATTCGGCTTGACCCCTTTTGGAGGCAAGTTGATGAATGCCTGACACACGCTTAGAGAAAGAGAAACGCTCATTCATTTCAAAATACGGATATAATGGCGAAAGGGGACGTGAGCTTGAGGACCTACTTGTTGGACGGTCCACGGAGCCGCGCGGATAAAATCGAACTCTCCTATGACTACGATGCTGAAGGGGGCACAACTTTATTCCCTGCCTGACTGTAGAGCTGAAATAGTTTTAAACTTTTAGGTGAGAAAGCAAACCATTCTGTAACCCACCAAATTTTATTAAATTAAGCGATGATGGAGATCAGCACGCAGTGTGGACAATGTTGGTAATAAACAAGATGGCTAACACCCTGTATTATTTTACATCAGTAAATGTCCTGACCGCAACAATCGGATATCCAAAATCTGAGGGGCCTGACCTCTTTGCTGAAATGCTTGGATCGGTCCCTGACATCTCTTTACCAATACAAGTATTGTTTCTAATCAAAATGAGTATTTGTTTCTTGAAATGGCAGCTAATAACATGTTTAACTTCCTTGTAGGGGGCATGGGGAGAAAGCTTTTGTTCTTCTGTTTGCTGTTATCATACGTGTTGCTATACAGGATTTCCATGTCCATTTCGGTTTAGATTCGCCCACTCTCCCCTTTGCCTTCTGCTGGTGTATTAACCTCATTTCTCGAATAAAGGTTGTCCAATGCAGGCGATCCACAAAAGTGCGCCTCCAAGAGTTTACAACGCGTTGACCGATCAGAATCCGCAAAATCTGTCGACCCTTTCCAAACGCCCACTGGGTCGACAGATTTTGCGTCCTGTGAATGGTGAACGCGTTTTTGCAACTCTTGGAGGCGCACTATTGTGATATGCCCGTGTAAAGACGAAATTAACTGCAGTAATTAGATCTCAATATACTTTAGAAACACGACAGGAGGGAAACTAAAAGCAAGAATATAGGAAATGGCGTGATATTCTAATCGTGAGCATTTTTTTTGCTTAACGAACGTGCCAAAATAAGAACGTGTTCACGTGAGCGCTCGCTTTACTTTTTCAATGGGCTACGAAACATATAGGTTGGTCATTAAGAATGAAAACGTCTGGTTTCCAAAATCTCTGCTATCTTTTTGAAAAAAATGAACCATTGAGTGATATATCACCAATTAAACGCTAAACTCTGATCTTTGTAAACTGGACAGTAAATCTCCTCCTGTGAAGCAAACGAATAAAAACAGAGAACGACTATCGGGAAAGTACTGACGATGGATGACTGTCCGCTGTTGTCGCACATGGCTTCACCCCCTCGCGCAAAACGAGACTTTGAAGACCCTTACCAGTTCCTCTGTGTCCTTCTGCATAAAGTTTGTTTTCACAGCCTCCTCCCTTGCGATTCCGCTATCGCGCGTTGGACGGGCCTGTCCTGTCAGTAAGCAAACAAGCACGGCTCTCTTCACTCCTTCAAGTTGATCGTCCGTTGCCCAGATGTCCAACACCGAAGTGTCGGCATGGGGTACTGTTCTTTAATTAGAGGTAGTCATGGATCTCACACCAAAATGCCCCTTTTTTTGCAAATGCCGCTTCATTTCCACCTGTTAATTAAGGTGTTTTTATTTTGTTTTCCGCGATAACAGAATCCCATGGTCTCCATTTCAGGACTTCGTTGTTTGCATACGTAGCGGTGACTGCAATATGAAATACAATATCTACATTGGAAGTCAGCGCGCGCATATCCATATACAAATATCAGAAAAGAATTTGAGCGACACACGCCGGTCCTTCGCAAAAGAGTTAACCAAACCAGGTGGATTCTGATGATTTTAAACATTTTTGGAATCGGTAAAGTATATGCTGTTTGTATACTTAATTTTTTTGTGCTTCATTTTGACTCTGAAAGTTGCTGTTTCGGACACTGTCGCTCAGTGATTCTGCTCACGAATACTCGCATGAACCTTACACAATTGGCATTAGACGTCTGAAACCAGTCTTGCGTCAGCGATATTTCAAGAACAACACCGCAAGGTATTTTACCCTCGGCCCCTTGAAGTTAGTCTCTTCTTTTTCATTCAACATCAGACTGGCAGAAGCTAAATAATCGATGGCTGTCCCAAACCCAAGTTCGAGCAGCACAAGCGCACGGGGGCTGGCATCTGCCAGGGAGGCCTAATACCGACTCAGTTCGTTGACATTATCTGGAGCGTGTCTTCCTCGGTACACGTGTATTGATTTATGTACACTTTGAAGGGAAATTAAAACACAAATTGAAATGGCCATCAGCAATGACTTCCTAAAGGGATGGATCTGTACAATCTCTTTTTTCCTCGATCTTTTTATGATCTGCCCCCTTCTTTCTGTTTCAATTATTCTTTGTGTCTCCTAGCTTCAGATTCATAAATCTGATTCGTTTCGTAATCCTCTGTTTTTGCCGATGAGATCCCCATTTTGATAAGGTGCAGACTGAGAGATGGATCCATTTAAGCTTCGGTATAAGACCCTCTTATTTGAGGGCATAATTTGTCAAAAGACGTAAGATGGTCCAAGTGTGCTTTGCGAGTCTATTTCATGGTGTCGCCATTTTTTCCTGGGAAAACCTCATTTTTTTCTGGGGATAATAATTCGGGGTGGAAGGCGAAGCATTCATCCGCTATCAACTGATAAACACTAATTTACTGGGGATAAAGTTGCGCTTTTAAAAAGCAACTTGGTGATTTTTCATGCAACTTTCACAACTGTTTCTTATGTTTCCCCCTCCCATTTTTTCATTTGAATATTTTTTTGCCGTCTCGCGACGACCACGGTCTACTTTTAACGAACTGTTAGTTCAATTTTCTGTATTCTTCGACTGCTAATTGAACCACAGCGGCTTTAAAAATCTCCAGGCTAAATACAGTTTTGCTTTGTGGTAATCCAGGTGTCGAAAGACGCCCAAAATTATTCACACATGACCACAATAAATGGAGTGTGCGAGTTCCAACGTGACAAGCGCGTTCATCTTGAAGTTTATGAATAAAATATGGATCACCTGGTCATTGAAAGGCGTGTTGTAGCTACTTTTGACTACAAACCTCACTTCAGCTATGTATCTCTATTCACCGCTTTACTGATATTGGCACTTCATTTAACAAACTCTTTCTGGAAACAAACGCTTTTATAAGGAAACTTAGCTTGTCTCAACATGCATCAACAGACCGCTTTGCTGCAATCTCAGGCTATTCACTTGTGTGTTTACTCAGGTATACACTTCACTGAAAATAGTCAGTTGCCCAAACAGATTGGAGCTTTGCAGGGATTTTCAGCAGAAGCAAGGTCTACTGAGACCGTTGATTGTC